GAGAGAGAGAGAGAGAGAGAATTTAAATATATATATTTATATAAATTTAAATATATAAATAATTTATATAAATTTAAATATATATATTTAGTTTTCAGCGGACACAACATATTTGTTGGTATGTGGTGCTGAGGATCGAACCCAGGCCACACGCATGCCAGGCAAGCGCGCTACAGCTTGAGCCACATCCCCAGCCCCCCCTGGAGTTCATTTTTAATACTCTGTGCCTTTTTCCAAATTCACTGTCTGGCTGGGGGTGGTGCCACACATCTGTAATCCCAGCACTTTGGGGGAGGCTGAGGCAAGAGGATTGCAAGTTTGAGACCAGTCCCAGCAACTTAGCAAGACCCTTGTCTCAAAATTTTAAAAAAATAATAATAAGGGCTAAGGATGTAGCTCAGTGCTAAAGTGCCCTTGGGTTCAGTACCAAAACAAACAAACAAACAAAAATCAATTTCATTATTTCATTACCTGAAGGAAACCTTGCTGCAGGCCTCTGGTCTGTGCTCTCAGGTTCTTCACAAGGTGCCTCTCACGGCTCTTCCTTTACACACATTGCATCCAATGCAGAAATCTAGAAGAGCACCAAGAAAAAACTCTCCAATAGTGTGCATGCATGTCTCCCACATGCATGTGTGTGCACTTGCACACACACTCACACACACATATATACACAGAGACTTGTTGTGTTGCTTATCTTTCTCACTTATGAATTTTCCCACATCATGTGCGATTTTTCTATAACAGCATTTCATTTTCTACACAGTATTTCAGACTATTAGATCTGCTACCATCTATTTAAATTAGCCCTTATTTGTAAGATTTATGTTATTTCCAGGTTTTTCTCTATTAACAATAATGTTTTAATGAACACAGACACGATTACTTCAATTCCATGAAAATAAACATTTCCATAGAGAAAAGAAATTGCTAATTTACAGAAGCCTGGTATGGGGTGTGGTAACTAAGAGGGTGGAAACAGAAATGGGGAAATGTAAAATTGAAACAGGACCATCCCTTAGGAAAAACAACAGGTATGTAAGAGGTTTCTGGCTTTCTTTTTACAGCAAAGGCTTCTGGGCATCCCTTCAAATCCCAGTCCCAGGCCAGGCCTGAATGGTTGAGATGCCATACTTAATGAAACCATGAATTCATTGCACAAATAATGTTTCTTATTCTTCCCGACCCTTCCACCCTGCTTTAACACCTGCCTCATACCTGTCAAATTATCATTGCTCAGGATTCATTCATCACTGAATGGTCATCAAATGTATTGACAAAGGGAATTAATTTATATTCATTTATTTAAATTTTTTTAAAAAAAAGTCTTGGAAAGGGTTCTGATGCATGCCAAGGTTGTTTGAAAAGTACAATTGAGGCGCCATGGACTAGGAAATGCTTTCACCATTCCTGGAGACTGTGAGTGCTTCCTGCCAATAGTGAAGCTCCATGGAAGTTGGTTGAATTGAACCAAGTTGAGTTTGGCCAGTTGCCAAAGGACAGGCACAGATGGTAAGCACTGTTGGAGTCCAGGAGACTGGCAAAGCCACAGTGGGCTCTGAAGAAGGGGAGGAAAGTTTTCATGAAGTACCAAATGCAGATTGAGAGCAAATCATTTATTCATTTGACAAGTAGGAATTGCATGCTACTTTGTGCAAGGCTCTGTGCTGGGTCTTAGAGACACATCCGTGAGCAAGTTACATTGGTGAACAGTCTGTGCCTTTATAACTCTCACAGCTACTTCTTTGTGAACTGGGGACAAGCAGGGAGTGCCAGGACATGGAGCCCATTGAGCAGTCGACAGGGAGAACAGCCAGAACTCTGGTTTGTGACTCTGGACCCAAGTTCTAAGCACTTGAGTCTAAAGCCTCTTCTGGAAAAAAAAAAAAAGGAAGACCTTAGGTGGTCTGAGCTTACC